AGCCGTAAAGCATGGCAGACTGAACTATCAAGTAGTCATCAGCTTTGCTCTGCCAGATGTTCTTAACATCGTCAGTTGCATCAGCAGCAGGCCTGGCACCCAGCGGTGCTTCCAGGATGTAACTTTTCTGTGCAGCAATGAGGATAATCCTCAGGTTACGGACCCAGTCCGTGTAATTGCTACCATCATCTTTCAACTTTGCTTTCTCAAGGAACGCATTAAAATTCAACGGAACAACAGCACGAGCCATCTATCTACAAAAAAACATAGACAAGCAAGATACTATCAGGTACTAAGTTCATGATAAATTTAAGTTCAATTAATCATATTACTTAAGAACTCCCACTTAGACAGATATCTCTCTAGTCATCTAAGTGATCACGTGATCCAAATCAACTAAATCATGTCCGATCATCACGTGAGATGGAGTAGTTTCAATGGTGAACATCACTATATTGATCATATCTACTATATGATTCATGTTTGACCTTTCGGTCTCCGTGTTCCGAGGCCATATCTGTATATGCTAGGATCGTCAAGTATGACCTGAGTATTCCGCGTGTGCAACTATTTTGCACCCGTTGTATTTGAACGTAGAGCCTATCACACCTGATCATCACGTGGTTTCTCAGCACGAAGAACTTTCGCAACGGTGCATACTCAGGGAGAACACTTCTTGATTATTAGTGAGAGATCATCTTAAAATGCTACCGTCAATCAAAGCAAGATAAGATGCATAAAGGATAAACATCACATGCAATCAATATAAGTGATATGATATGGCCATCATCATCTTGTGCTTGTGATCTCCATCTTCGAAGCACTGTCGTGATCACCATCGTCACCGGCGCGACACCTTGATCTCCATCGTAGCATCGTTGTCGTTTCGCCATCTATTGCTTCTACGACTATCGCTACCGCTTAGAGATAAAGTAAAGCAATTACAGGGCGTTTGCATTTCATACAATAAAGCGACAACCATATGGCTCCAGCCAGTTGCCGATAACTTCGGTTACAAAACATGATCATCTCATACAATAAAATATAGCATCACGTCTTGACCATATCACATCACAACATGCCCTGCAAAAACAAGTTAGACGTCCTCTACTTTGTTGTTGCAAATTTTACGTGGCTGCTACGGGCTTAGCAAGAACCGTTCTTACCTACGCATCAAAACCACAACGATAGTTCGTCAAGTTAGTGCTGTTTTAACCTTCGCAAGGACCGGGCGTAGCCACACTCGATTCAGCTAAAGTGAGAGAGACAGCCACCCGCCAGCCACCTTTAAGCACGAGTGCTCGCAACGGTGAAACCAGTCTCGCGTAAGCGTACGCGTAATGTCGGTCCGCGCCGCTTCATCTCACAATACCGCCGAACCAAAGTATGACATGCTGGTAAGCAGTATGACTTGTATCGCCCACAACTCACTTGTGTTCTACTCGTGCATATAACATCAACGCATAAAACCTAGGCTCGGATGCCACTGTTGGGGAACGTAGTAATTTCAAAAATTTTCCTACGTACACGCAAGATCATGGTGATGGCATAGCAACGAGAGGGGAGAGTGTTGTCCACGTACCCTCGTAGACCGTAAGCGGAAGCGTTATGACAACGCGGTTGATGTAGTCGTACGTCTTCACGATCCGACCGATCCAAGTACGGAACGTACGGCACCTCCGAGTTCAGCACACGTTCAGCTCGATGACGATCCCCGGGCTCCGATCCAGCAAAGCTTCGGGGATGAGTTCCGTCAGCACGACGGCGTGGTGACAATGATGATGCTCTACCGGCGCAGGGCTTCGCCTAAACTCCGCGATGATATGACCGAGGTGGAATATGGTGGAGGGGGGCACCGCACACGGCTAAGGAACGATCCGTAGATCAACTTATGTGTCTATGGGGTGCCCCTGCCCCCGTATATAAAAGAGGGAGGGAGGAGGCCGGCCGGCCCTTGTTGGGCGCGCCAGGAGGAGTCCTCCTCCTAGTAGGAGTAGGACTCCTCCTTTCCTACTCCTACTAGGAGGGGAAGGAAGGGGGAGAGGAGGGGAAGGAAAGAGGGGGGCGCCGCCCCCCCTCCTAGTCCAATCCGGACCAGAGGGAGAGGGGGCGCGTGGCCCTTCCTGTCCGCCCCTCTCTCTTTCCACCAAGTCCCATGTGGCGCATTAACTCTCCGGGGGGGGGGGGTTCCGGTAACCCTCAGGCACTCCGGTTTTCTCCGAAATCACCCGGAACACTTCCGGTGTCCGAATATAGTCGTCCAATATATCAATCTTTATGTCTCGACCATTTTGAGACTCCTCGTCATGTCCGTGATCACATCCGGGACTCCGAACAAACTTCGGTACATCAAAACTTGTAAACTCATAATAAAACTGTCATCGTAACGTTAAGCGTGCGGACCCTACGGGTTCGAGAACTATGTAGACATGACCTAGAACTATTCTCAATAACCAATAGTGGAACCTGGATGCCCATATTGGTTCCTACATATTCTACGAAGATCTTTATCGGTCAAACCGCATAACAACATACGTTGTTCCCTTTGTCATTGGTATGTTACTTGTCCGAGATTTGATCGTCGGTATCCAATACCTAGTTCAATCTCGTTACCGGCAAGTCTCTTTACTCGTTCCGTAATGCATCATCCCGTAACCAACTCATTTGGTCACATTGCTTGCAAGGCTTATAATGATGTGCATTACCGAGAGGGCCCGGAGACACCTCTCCGACAATCGGAGTGACAAAACCTAATCTCGAAATACGCCAACTCAACATGTACCTTCGGAGACACTTGTAGTACTCCTTTATAATCACCCAGTTACGTTGTGACGTTTGGTAGTACCCAAAGTGTTCCTCCGGTAAACGGGAGTTGCATAATTCTCATAGTTACAGGAACATGTATAAGTCATGAAGAAAGCAATAGCAATATACTAAACGATCAAGTGCTAGGCTAACGGAATGGGTCATGTCAATCACATCATTCTCCTAATGATGTGATCCCATTAATCAAATGACAACACATGTCTATGATTAGGAAACATAACCATCTTTGATTAATGAGCTAGTCAAGTAGAGGCATAGTAGTGACTATATGTTTGTCTATGTATTCACACATGTATCATGTTTCCGGTTAATAAAATTCTAGCATGAATAATAAACATTTATCATGATATGAGGAAATAAATAATAACTTTATTATTGCCTCTAGGGCATATTTCCTTCATTGTGGGCTTGCTAATTATATAGTTGCCTAGCTTACATTGCTTTAAGCCCCCTTGACATAAAAGGATTGTTCATTTAGTTGCATTTCTAGAAAACCCTATTTATCCGCATTTCCTGGTAATTAAGCTTAAAATCTCTAGTCTCCTATTCACCCCCCTCTAGTCAACCGTATCGACCCTTTCAGCCGAGAGCACTGATGTGCTCTTCGGTTCCCTGCTGGCACTAGATGAGGCCCATCCGGCAACCCTGCTACTCGAGGACCTCGACAACTTGTTTATTCCATGGTTCGGAGGCTCATCCATCTCCTTGGATTGTCGTTGTCCAAGGTGGTTATATCGGCATGCTCCAGTCCGGACGCTATGTGCTTTGTCAGGTGAAAGCCCTATAGGCAACGACGCCCATGGGCGCCGCGCCCCTTCTTGGAGGCATCTGTTTTGGCTATTCCATTGCCCCCGCACTCAGTGCCCCGAGAGAAATCCCTTACCTAGCTCCATCTAGGTTGGGCCATGGCGGCGCCATACGCGTCGTTCCTTCTTTGAGGCATCGTCGTGGACCCTATTTTGTTCGAGGTGGCCATTGCCTCATATCTACTCGCCATCCCATGGCTTTACGCCGACGGTTTGTGTTCTTGGTGACCCCGAAGCCTGCGTTTGGATAGTCCTGGGCAGGCCTTGGCTGCGTGTTGCCTTTGGACGAAGTGGCGGCACACCGATGTCGCGGGGTCTCGGCTACACTCCGTCCTTTGGTCTCGCTGATGGCACACCAGTGTTGTCGCTTGGTCTCGGATATCCGATGCCTTTTGATCGTGCCAGCTACGGTCCTCGGTTAGCCGATGCTTGCTCAACATCTGGAGATTCCTGGGGAGGCCTCCGTTGTGCGTCACCCTTCGAGTTCTGGTGGCACATTGGTGTCGTGGGGTCTTGGCTGCGCTCTGTCCTCATGTCTCATCGATGATATACCGATGTCGTTGCACGGTCTCGAATGTCCGATGTCTTTTGATCGTGCTGGCCTGGTCCTACATAATTCTACGTTCTGGTCGTTCTTGCTTTTGGTGTTGCGCGGTTCTTCATGGAGCTCCTCATCCGGCTTGGGCTCGAGGCTTTGGTATCGGCTCATGGGGGGTTCAGTTCGCTTCTCGCTAACCTCCCCTTCCTCTTCATTTTTTCCTCTTGCTTTTGTTTGTTTGCTTGGGTTGTTGACAATAATGCTAGACTTACGGAAAGAATTTACGCGCTGGTGTTACGGACATGGACGTGGGCTTGTGCGGGTGGCTACAGTTAACAGTAATGCTACATCTATAGGAAATTACGGGGGAGGTTTACAGGGTGACGAGGCATTCTTTCATTGGTCAATTTGGGGGGCACCGGCCCACCCCTGAAAATCAGGGGGCGGAGGTATGATTAGAAGAGAAGGGAGGTCTGTAACTTCCTGTTGATTACCTGTAGGTGTAGGATTATTGATTGCGCCACATCAGTCCGTAGGCTCCGTCCGTAGCAATTTGTCCGTAGATGTAGCACTATTGGCTTGTTACCCTCTGTAAACTGCTGCTTTTGCCATTGGCTAAATGAAATGTTTAGGTGGGCAGTTAGTCCCCTGGTGACCTAAATTCAATGTGCTACACTTTTGCTTATCGGAAACATCCAACGGCTGCAAAAGAACCATCATAATCGTACAAGCGCCCAGGCCAATCTTCCAAACCAAGTGAAAGTGGTGCATGAAGTCTGCACCCTAAACCGCGTGCAAAACAGAAAGTTGAGACGGTCGATCATGGCGTATCACCGGTAGAACACCACGGGCGGCAACCTAAACCCAGATTCCCGCAAGAACGGGACCCCCTCCGGCCGGGCCTCGAGGTCCCGGTAGAACTCGTACTCCGCCTCATAGTCGTGCAGTTCCAGCTCCCGCTTCTGCAGCGTGTGGTAGTGGTGCCGGGCCGCTGCGTCCTTGCCGAACCCGAACACCGACACCCGCTCGCACACGCCGGCCGCGGCCACCACCGCCTGCATCCCCGACGAGTAGTGAAACATGCCCTCCCCGTGCGCCCGCCCCCATTCGTCGGCCGGCCGCCCCGTCTCCCGCACGAATCGCCGCAGCGAGTAGTACTTGACGAGACGCGCGCACAGCGCGTCCAGCCGCGGGTCCGTCACGATCACCGGCGCGGCGCCGGAGGAAGACGCGTTGCACGCGGCGTGCTCCACGAAGTGCGCGCCGCTGCACATGTACGTCAGGATGGGCACGGCGTCCCCGTAGGCGCGGCAGTAGCAGGCTCTGCTGCCCCCGGCGCACCACCGGCTCATTACGTTGCTGTTGAGGAACGCCAGCCCGGTCCTGGCGCCAACGTAGCGCGCGTTCCCTGCGTTGCCCGCCGGCGCGTTGTTGATCCGGATCACGAGCTCGTGGCCGTCGATGTTGTCGCCGCGCTCTGACGTCAGAAGGATGCCGCTGTTGCCGACCACAGCGCACGACGCGTACTTCCCGCCATCGGCGTCCCGCCCGCTGTGCCGGTCGATGGGGCTCTTGATGAGGTCCACGAGCTCGGACATGACGCCGGGGTCGAACCGCTGCCTTCGTAGCCAGTCCCGCAGCCCGCGTACCGCGACGTCGCGGTGCTCCTCCGGAGCTCTCGACATGTTGCCCTCGAGCAGCTTCTTGGCCGCCTGCAGCACGGCCGTCGCCGCCGGGTCGACGGCCGCGAGCTCCATGAGCGTGGCGTCAGCGTCATGTCCTAGTACACCCTCAGCCGGCCCAGCTGTCGTGGTGCCGCGGAGGGTCTGGCCTCCGAGACTGGAGTGTCTCAGTAAGCACTGGAAGGAGATGACCAGGAAGACGGCGACGAGCAAGAGGAGGCTGCAGGCCGTATGGCTCCCACCACCATGCCTCTTCATGCTACGTACGCGCTAATGTTTGGCGCATCGTAGAGAGTACCATTTTATTCGATTAGTTTGGGTCTCGTTCGGTACGATCCAATGAGCTCAATCGTCACTAGCGGCGTCAAACGGCCACGAAGAACGGAGTTGAACATATTTGCGCGTCCAAATTTCTCTCCATTATAGTATCCTTTCCGGACAACCATGGATGACTTTCTTTTGCCTGTACGTGGTTAACAACGCAGATCACAGCGAACACGTACAAATGCGCTACGCATCTTAAGCGTATTTTACTTTTTGTGCACGCAAGTTGGGGATTAGATGGTGTACGATCGGCTCAGTTGCGAAGGTTCCAACACCTGCCTCCCCCAGAGGCCGTGTTTGTTGGCGGTGATCAACTAGTGTGGGGAGAGCCAGAGGTTGGCAACATGGAAGCGCCGATGGAATATTGGGGTGGTGTGCGCTTCGTCGTCCCCGCCACAGAGGTGGTGGAAAGATACCGGCCGGCCGGCCGGTGGTGTAAGATGCCAGACTAGCATTTGGTTATCCTTGCGAGGCGATTTGTGAAAGGATCTAGTTATATCTCATCTAGATGTGAGTAGTACCTTACATCTATGTATAACGTCAGCATTGTTTGTAGTCCATTTTTGTTTGTTTATTTCTCTTTTCTTTGTCGTGGGCCTGTTTGTTTGTCTTGATTTTGTTGTTTGGTTGTGCGGTGTTGTGTTTGACTGTCACGCGTCCCACAGGGGAGCCCCCGACTGGGCTGATCCATTAGCAAACGTGGCACGAAGGTGCATATATTTAGCGGCAGAGCGAACAATTCAGATTTTTTTCAACATTTCTTGAAATTGAGATCAACAGTTCTCAAAATTGAGACATGTCTTTGCAAAAATGAGAACACATTTTAAAAATCGAGGCATCTTTTTTTGGAGAGAATAATATTTTTACAAACTTCCAAACATTTTCTGAACATTATCATTTTTTGAAAAATGTATATGCTTTTTCAAAAGTTGAACGTTTTTTTGAAATTTGCAAACAATTTTTGGAAACATAAACTTTGTTTCAAACATTTGAACTTGTTTCAAAAAATACACACATTTTTATAAATTGTGATTTTTTTTGAAAAAGATGAACATATTTGAAAATATTCAATTTTTTTGATAAAAAATAAAAAAAACTGAAAATTTGAATTTTGGAATATTTCCTAGAACTTTTGAATTTACAAAAAAGAATTAGAAAACGAAAAAAAAAGTGAGATCGACTTTTGAAAAATAGAAATAGTAAAAGTAATGGAAAACCGGTGAAGAAAAAAATGATAAAAGAAGAAAACAGAAAAACGAAACAAAAAACGTATTCTAACTACTTGGGCCGGCTCATGTGCGGTTTGCTCGCTGTCGATGGTGGACTTGCAACGGAGACAAAAAAAGGTCGGACCCCTAGTTGCGAGTCGAGGGTGGACTCACAGTTGGAACTAAAAAAGGTCGGGCCCCAGGTGCGAGTCGAGTTTGGACATGTAACCGGGACAAAAAAAAAAGGTTGAACCCCCGATGTGAGTCGAGGGTGGACTTGTAACTGGCACAAAAAAGGTTAGGCC